CAGCCATGCCCTCTGCCCCGCCCAGCCATGCCCTCTGCCCCGCGCCCGCCCAGCCATGCCCTCTGCCCCGCCCAGCCATGCCCTCTGCCCCGCGCCCGCCCAGCCATGCCCTCTGCCCAGCCACCCCACTTAGCTTGGCTGCTAAGACTCTGCTTGTCCCTCGCTCCTTCCTGCACGTGCTGCATGTCCCTCTCTTGCTGCCTCTGCCCCGTGTGTGAGAGCAGCCTGGGCGGGAGGAAGTAAAGCTCTTTGTCCTTCTGTGACCACGCCCTGAAACGGTTGCAGTGGTGGGGATTCAGGAGTTCAACACTGAATTTGGGTTTTTCTTGCCTGTTCCTTTCTACCTGCTGATGCTACAATAATTATGGCTTTCCCTAGAATTGCTTTTTGGAGTGAATTGATCTGTGCCCAGTTCTGGGAGTGGGTACTTGTGAGATTGGATCTAGCCACCAACAGCTTCCCCAAGAGCAGGGTTAGACTATGGGGCTCACAGTGCTGCTGAGGGTCACAGCCATGGTGCGGCATGCCACCCACCTGACCTACCGGGGAAAGTGCCACATTCCCGCTTGCCCATTTCTTGTCTCAGCTGTATGCAGTTGCAGTCAAAGATCTAATAAGAAAGAGCGATAGGAGCTACAAAGTAAAATCCAGGAACAGTACTGTGGAATACACCCTTAACAAGTTGGAGCCTGGAGGGAAATACCACGTCATCGTCCAGCTGGGGAACATGAGCAAAGATGCCAGTATAAAGATTACCACAGGTAAGCAGGAGGGAGCAGAGGCCGCGTGTATGGCGGGTGCTCGCCGTGCCGCCAGGCGCCTCGGGACGGGGAATTCTGTCAGAGATCACACAGGAAGCACAGACCCTGCCCTCCAGGGTCCGTCTTGGGGCAGAGCAGTGTGGGAATCCCCCACCTGGCTGCAGGGTGGTGGCCAGGGCACTGTGAGGGGAGTAGCTGTCCTTTTTCGTACTCTCTTAGTCTCCTCTGTGCTTTGCCGCTTCTCGGGAAGAGGGGGAGTGCCCAAGACAGTTAGGAAATAAAACCGAGCATTTGCCACTAAAGCCAAGCATCACACCTGGAGACCTGGACTAAAGTCACAGTGGTTCCTGGTGGCAATATGACATGTAGACATGGAGGGAGGCCAGGGACTGGGCAGTAGATTAAAGGGGGACTTTCTGCTAGCCCTGGGCTGGCTCTGTAGTCAGGCTCAAATTCAGAAAGCAGGGCAGAAGCTTGGTTACTCAGACAGCAGCCATGTCAGTGATGGAGGCTGTCGGTGCGAGCAGGGGGCCTGGGTCATGCTCTGCGATCTTGAGGTGGAGCTCTCCAGTCCCTCACTGGGCTCTGAGGCCCCTTTGGTTCTGGCTCTGGCTCAGGCTCAGGCCTTGAGAGCAGGAAGGCAGGCTGGGAGCCAAAGTCCAGGTCCGATCCAGTCCATTCCTCCCTTTCCAGCTGCACCCTGTTTGTTTTTGGCTACCTTTGGGTATAAGGGCTACTAAATTAGATACTGTCCAAATTTCTTGGCTAAAGTTATAACAACAAAAGAGATGCCAGTTAGAGTGTCTGCCATGTGCTAGGCTCTGTACTAAGCAGTACATGTGTTTTATTTCTTCCTTAAATTAATCTAACCCTTCACGGTTAACATTCTTTAATCTCCCTTTGACAGATAAGGAAACGGCAATTCAAGTGTATGGCCACTAACTGCATCCTGTTTCATCTTTAATTTTCAGTGTCATTGTCAGCACCTGATGCCTTAAAAATCATAACAGAAAATGACCATGTTCTTCTGTTTTGGAAAAGTCTAGCTTTGAAGGAACAGTATTTTCAGGAAAACAGGGTGAGTTCCCCTCCTTCTCAATAACTTTGAGAATCAAATTGGACAGTGTTTTAGAGGTGAGCTCATTCACAGCATGCTAGCCTAAAGAAAGGACAAGGCAAAGGAGTGGACCTGGGAGCCGAAGGACCATTTTCTGTGTGATTGCTAATTAGTGAAATGTTGATACTGCCCACTGAAGGTGAGAATCTTGGCACTAAGTGCTTTTCAGTCCTCCCGCCCTTGCCGTGCTCCCTGAGCTGGCCTGGGGCCCCATCTTCCCAAACCTTCTGTAGGTGGGGCTGTGGCTTCGGCACTGAGTCATGAGCTGCACTCTGCACCTGGCATCTATCTCATGTTTCTTTCCAGTGAAGTTCAAGGGAGCAGGCAGCACTTGAAGGTAGTCTGTCAACATATGAAAAACAATTGTTTTGTTATTGGCAGACCAATTATTTACAACATGTGATAGGAGGAGAGCAACACCTGAATAGATTTGCCACCCAAGGGTAGACAGACCGTTGTCAGCAAAGCATGAGCTAAATAAACAGGAAAACTCCCCTGTGGCTACCTGGAGGTGTAGTGTTAGCAGAGTCCTCGGCTTCTAAATAGTCACAGCATCATGTCAGAAGCAAAGCTAAATTAGAATTCGAATATTCTCGCAGCTTTCACAAGTATGATATAAATGGTTAAAATACCTTAATATAAAGAAAGTTTTCAAAGCAATTCTAAACTAATTTTGAAACAGGTACAGGTAATGAAGTAAAATATTCCAGCAGCAGTAAGCAAAAGAAAAAAGGTCCACTTCACTAGTGGTGCCGGCAGCAGAGGGGTGGCCCGTTCACGTGAAGCTGGCAGAGTTCTGCTGGAAGAGTGTTGCGCTCTGAGTAGTAGTGGGGAGGCCAGTGCCCTGGGAACATGAATCCGTTTGACCTCCTGTGAGGCACTGTGGAAATAGGCATCAAAAACCTTACAGTGTGCACACCCTCGGACCCAGCGATTCTTTCCTTTGCTCTAAGGAAACAGTGTGTGTGAAGAATTCAGATCCTAGGCCGTTGAGGGCAGTTTTATTTATGATAGCAAGAAAGAGGAGACCACCTGAATGCCCACAGAAGAGGACTCTTAGACAAGTTATGGGTAGTTGATGTTTGTGTCATTTAAATTCTTTCCTTTATACCTTTATGCATTTTGCAAATGTTGTACACCAAATCTGTGTTAGATAGGAAATGATGAATGCTAGTATATAACAAAGACTGTGGAGATATTGGGAGACTTGGTTTGGCAACGGCTGATAGCGGAGTCCTTTTTGGTGGCAGTGCCCAGCTGTTAGGTTGGGGATGCAGCTCAACCACCCATTGCCAGTGGGGCTCTGGCATGAACACGGCATGTCCTCCTTCCTCCCCTTAGAGTTCCGAGAATAGACAGGTCAGTGGAATGGGACCAAGAGACTATGAGTATGCCGTGGGGCCCAATATCTGGGTCTTTTTTGGGTGGCGGTGGGGAGGTGTGCACGGGGTTTGACACTAGACTATGTGAAGAGCATCGGGAAGTCCAGACGGCCATACTGATCCCACCAGCATGTTGGCCAGGACTGCCCTAGGAGTGCCGTTTCCAGCACAGGTTTCCCCGACTGCCTGCGCCAGTGTAAATCGCAAGATTGTTTATCTCATCAGCTCCTCGAGAGCCTGCTGGAGCACCTTTTATTTCAGGGCCGGGCTGAGCCGGGCCACCATGGGTTTGGGAGGGCTGGGAGCAAGGAGCTGTGAGCTGATGAGGAAGTTCCCGTGCACTGTCCTAGGGAGAAATGTCCTGTCTTTTCTGATGCAAGTTCCTTTTTTTCACCCCATTCCTGGAGCCCAGTGCAGCCTGGCTTATTATCAGCAAATCCCATTACAGCCAGCTATTACTGAATTGTCCAGATTCTCTGTGGCATTTAATGTTGCCTGAGACAAGTGGGCTGCTGACCAGAGCTCTGAATGTGTACTAAAACAGTTGTTTAAATGGCTTTTGTTGGGGATTCAGGTTTCCCTTCCTCTGTGCAGCTCAGGAGAGCTGTGCAGTTATTTAGACACTTGGGATGGGAAAGTGCCCTTATTCTGAATCCAGTATCTCAGTGGTAATGAAAAAGATCTAGTAAGAACCCAGAGTGCTTTAACATCTGCAGAGGCTTGCAGTGAGGAGCACACACAGCTGGCGGCAGTCACGGAGCTCAGGCTCTGTCTGCAGCTTCCTGACATCTGTCTGTCTGTTTCCAGGGCTACGAGATACACATGTTTGATAATGCCATGAATATCACAGCTTACCTCGGGAATACTACCGACAATTTCTTTAAGGTTTCCAACCTGAAGTTGGGTCATAACTACACGTTCACTGTCCAGGCAAGCTGCCTTGTTGGCAGCCAGATCTGTGGGGAGCCTGCTGCCCTGCGTTATGATGCCTTGGGGCCCGGTAAGTGGCTGCTGCTGCCAGTTCCTGTCTTCATTTCTGGGAAATGCATCAAGCATGTAGCATGGCTTGCTAGAAATGTGTTTTTCTAAAATGCATTAAAAATAGTTCAGTTCAAAAGAAAATCATATATGTATCAATTTAATCAGGCCCTGATTTATTTGTAAATACTTCCTGAGCCAGGCGTGCTGGGAGAGCTGAAGGTACCAGGTGACCACATTGTGAATGTAAAGCCCAAGAAAGGGGAGGCTAAGAAGTTTTGTTTAAAGAGGAGGTTCTGTTTGAGAAACAATGAGTTAATAAGAGTTGTTTTGTTGTTTTAGGACTTCTCAGAGCCTCCAATTATGCTTATATCTCCTATGATTTCCAAGTTAGTAAATAATCTCCTCGTCATGGAGTAACTGATTTCCTAGCTGTCCCTTCATTTTAGCTGGCAGCCAAGCTCAGACCCTGCATGTGGCCAGGACCTGTCTTAGGAACAGTCACAGATGTCACTGGGGTCAGGCTAAGGGCAGAGGACCGGGCCCTTCCATTTACAGCAATGGTGCATCTTCTGTAGTAGCTTCTCCAGGAATTCAACAGTTTGGCACTGGCCCTTTTAGTGTCATTTCCTCCCAGCCAAGAACTAACCGATGCTCAAGCCAAAATCTTGTCTTAGAGTTGTTCTGTGTTCTCTCTTGCCCTGTATCCCATGGTGTATTCTGCTGGAGTACCCACCCTTGGCACCACCTACGTGAGGGAACCCTTGCATCTCACTTCTCTTTGGAGATCACTGCATATTAGAGGTTCTGAGAAGGTTCTACCAAAACCCAAGAACCTCCAATTATGCTTACATCCCCTATGATTTCCAAGTTAGTCATCTTTTGAACCTGTTGTTTCCTAAATAGAGCCTCTCTTTTGAGGAAATCCAGTCAGCAACTATTAAACAGACTTCGGGAAAAACTGTTGTGAGGACACCCCCAGCTGCCCATGTGAAACCCAGCTGGTCCAACAGAATGTTTCTGGTTAGACCTCTCAGCCTGAGCCTCACTCCTTGTCCCCTTGGCAGTGGGGTGGAGGGCCCAAGCTCCCTCATTCCTGCGACCTCCACCTGCTGGCCTATTCCTGTCTGCCCCAGACAAGGGCATACCCTAATTTACCACTTCACAGTTGGGGTTAGGTTGGGATACTGAATTTTTTTTTTTTTTTGTAAATCAATAATGAAAGGAATTAAAGACTCGAGTATTGACTTGTTAGATTAGGCTGGCAGGAGATGGCTCCTTGGCCTCTAAGAGACCCTGTTGGAAAGAATCCCTGGGTGCTGCCGGATTTCTGCATGAGGCAGAGGCCGGGCCAAGGCCATCTCACCCTACTCCAGGGACAAGCCTCAAGCCAAGCAGGGCTCCTTATGGGGTCATAGAAAGTCCACTTGCTTCCTTAGCTAACACTGACTCCCACTGTCCCGTCTGAGGCTCAGACTTTACCCAGGATTTCTCAGATAAAGAGTCTAACCCTTTCAGGAAGACTCATTCTGACCCAGCAGGTTGTTTGCTTTGCCCACGAGAAGCACTTTACAACCTTTGTCATCTCATGGCACATAAACTAATTACTAAAATTCTCTAACATACCAAAAAGTGTATTTTTTGCCAATCTGACAAAAGAAAATAGGTATAATTTTTTTTAAATAAGATATATTTTTATTGATTTCAGATAGAGGAAGGGAGAGGGAGAGAGAGATATCAATGATGAGAGTCAATTGGCTGCCTCCTGCACCCCCCCTCCCCCTCCCCGAGGATGGGGCCGGAAACCTGGGCATGTGCCCTGACTGGGAATTGAACCTCGATCTCCTGGATTCTAGGTTGATGCTCAACCGCTGAGCTATGCTGGCCGGGCAATAGGTATAATTTTGATTCATTCACACAGGACAGCTGTTGTTGTGTTGGCTATTGTCATTTTTTTATTTGAATCTAAGGGAAAAGCAGTCAGTGCCCCTGAATAAATAGTCAGGTACTGCATGTTGTAAACATTGTGGCACATGGGTTGAAAATTACCACCCTAGAGCACTGTTGATATATCACCATAAAGCTAGTATTTGTTTAAGGCAATGGGAAAGGGCACCATGATTAGTTACAGACACTTAAATGGCTTTGAAAAGGGCTTTTTAAAAATGTTTAATGTATATGGGAAGGTTATCTTGCTCTCTTTTATTTAAGTAAAAGCCTAATAAACTCCATGAGCTGGTGAGTCAGTTGCAGTAAGGGAGTCTCATTGTGTCACTTCATGGAGCTTCAGATAATTGCAATTCAGAGGACTTTGGTGCTAAGTAGGGGAAATAATTGCAATCTCATTAATTAGTGGTCTGATTTCCTATCCTCTTATGGAAAGCAAGCAAGTGGTCTGAAGTAATCATGCTAATGAAACCAGTGTTGATACCCCAACAAAGGTCTCCCTTCCAGGAGATTACCTCAATACCAACAAGGCAGTGATTAGGAGTTTAATATAATTACTGTGGTTGCATGCACAAGCCTGAAGCCCATTAGCTCATGGGCAGGGATCGGGCAATGTGTAGGTGTCACGTACCGGAACGTGTCGCAGCAGGTAGGCATTTGGTTAGGTGTTGCAGACCCCCGGGTGTTTGGGTGGTGGGTTGCTGAGGAGCTGCCTGGTCCTTTCCCTGCCCTTACCCAGGAGGCTTATGGCTGGCATCTTACCTTGGCAGGTGGGGATGCGTCAGCCCTTCATGCTACCAGATCCACTGACGTGGCTGCTGTGGTGGTGCCCGTCTTGTTCCTGATACTGCTGAGCCTGGGGGTTGGGTTTGCTGTCCTGTACACAAAGCACCGTAGGCTGCAGAGCAGCTTCTCTGCCTTCGCCAACAGCCACTACAGCTCCCGGCTGGGCTCGGCCATCTTCTCCTCCGGCGATGACTTGGGTACGTGGTGCCTCCTCCCAGGGCATACCCCACAGAGCCAGTGACTTGATTAGGAAGTACCTACTGTAAGCCCGTCTTTGGACTCTAGAGCTGTTATGCGTTAACCAACAATCCCGTTGCTTTGGGTTAAACCAGTTAGAGCCCGTTGCTTTGAATTTGCTCCTGAGTGAAGGTACCAGTATTCTTTTCAGTAGCTTGGTCTGGCCTCTGCTGGGAGCTCGCCTTGTACAGGGGGATAGATTTGCCCTGGGCTTTGGGTGCTTCCAGAGTATTGGCTGGTTCTCAAGAGTTTCCAACTCTTCTCATCCTTCAGAGACCTGGAGGTCTGAGATCTCCACACATCCCAGTGAAGACAAAAAGCCATGCTTCCCACTCAGCATCTGTCCAGAGGCCTCCTTTCCATCTTCCTCTTTGCTTTTCTGATGGCTAGTGCAGCCTCGCAGGCCATTCCTCTGTTATGTGTCGATAACGTAGCATGGGAAAAAGAAGGAAATACCCCTTTTATAAATGTCTGCATGCTCACTTTACCAAACACTAATCGAGCTAGTAGGCCGCTAGTAGGCCGCTTAACATAATGAAGTGGGTGTGTTTGGGGACCTTCCCCAAACTTAGGCTTCTCCAGACTCAGGTTGCCGCAGGTGAGTTTACGTGGTCATTTTTTCCTGTATACTAATTCTGATTTGTTTGTTTGTAAAGACCTTTATGTATTCCCATTCACTAATCATTTGATATTAGCTCTGTCTGCTGCTTCTCAGGTCTTTTTTGGCTTTATTAGAAGTTCTTGGACTCCTTTGCATGAATGGAGGGGGCTCTTTGTTTCTGTTATTGGGGCAAAAGGAGCCATGCCATCATGGTGGCACTCATGCAGTGACCAGGGAGTGCCTCTTGGCACTCACACAGGGTGGTACCCAGGGCCACGTGGGGACAGCTGCTAGGCTGGGAAGCTGTCCTCAAAACACTCAGATCCCTCTGAGGCCCTTTTCCTTAGAGCCCTGTGTGTTCAAAGGGGAAAACAGACAATTAAGTTTGCTGTGCTAACGTAGGGTGTGGATAACTCCAACTGGGGAGAGTAAAACACCTAGGGCCTTTTAAGTAAGTAGTAAGATTCTCCTTCCTAGAAGACCAACTTGACTTATTTGGTTAAATTCAAACTATGATTAAAATGAGCTTGATCCCTGTTGCGGGAAGAAGGGGACTCTAACAGGTGGCTGTTTCAGCAAGTGACTGTGCCTGAGGCGGGGCTTGCGGTGGGTGGGGATGGAGGGGCCTAGAGGCGGGAGATGGGTCGGGATGCAGGTGCACTGGGACTCACCACCTGACTGTTCTTCCCTTAGGAGAAGATGATGAAGACACTCCAATGATAACTGGATTTTCAGACGATGTCCCCATGGTGATAGCCTGAAAGAGTGTCTTTCCACTCGAGAAACCAAATGGTGTAAATATTTTATTTGATAAAGATAGTGGATGGTTTATTTTAAAAGATGCACTTTGAGTTGCAATATGTTATTTTTATATGGGCCAAAAACAAAACAAAAAAAAAAAAGAAAGAAAGGAATGAATGAATAAATTTTGTAGTAATCAACTGTGAACTTCAAACCAGGTTGACTTTAGTGACCAAATTGCTCTGATTTGATGCTAATGTCGTCTTACAGGGCTGTGCTTGCTGGCCATGCTTTTAAGTCTGTGAGATAATTTTGGTTCAATAAATTGGCCATTCTTTTTATTTTTCTAAGAAAGAAATGTATTTAATAAAAACGTCAAGAGAGTGTGGTGGGTGGAATCCCTCCTCCTGGAAAGTATGCTTCACATTTTAAATGTTGTCTGGGTTTAGTTTATATGAAAGTGTTTGGTGGGGAGGTTCTGTTATGTTATTATGTTAATTTATTGAGACTTTGTATAAGGCAAGGCTTGGTGGTCACCTGCCACCACACTCGTTGTGAGCCCCTGGTGTTGAGGGGTGGGGAACAGAGCAGTTAGTTGCCATCTGGAAACAGTCCATTTTCATTGACTGCGCGTGTCTGTCACACACGGTATTCGGCAGGAGAGTGCACTGCGGCGTTGCTGCAGTCCAGGCAGACTGCAGCCTTGGAGGCCCTGCAAGCATCAGCTTCCCCTCGTATTAACTGGTGAATCAGCTGTGTCTGCCTCTGCGGGACGTGGCTTTCAGAGCTGCACAGGGATATCCCTGCTTTACCACACCCTGGTGTCGTCACTGAGAGCACTGCTCTGCGTGGGCAAGAGCCGTAGATCTGCGCCCCAACAGATACGTGGGCAAATTTGGTACCTAAATTTTCAGGTTTTTACCTATCACTGAAGAATCTCAAACGTAAAGCTTTGTACCTGTGTCGAGAATTCATGCCGACACACGCAGTCATTTTGCACTGGGCCAGTGCCTTCTCTTTTTTCTCTTCTTCCACCTGCCTTTCCCACACCTCTGCCCAATTGCTGGCGAAAGTCTCTTCACTCTTACGGAGATTCAAGAGGTCTGTGAATCTGAGGCCACTCAGTCCAGTTCACAGTAGCAGCAACACTACTCTGTAGAATAAGCTGGGACTGTTTTCCTTGTTCCTTTAAATGCCACCCCTGTGTTCAGATCATGGCTACTTGGCAGGTGTGCAGAACCCACTGTGGACTGATGCCCACCCTTCAGCCCTAATGCTGTGGGCGCAGTGCCGAGCCTGGCTGACTCCTGCTGCGGGGGCCTCACGGAACCCCCCTCAAGGAGCAGGGGAGCCATGCTTTTCATGCGTCCCTGATAGCCCAGCTTTCTGTGAATACCACCTGCTCTTAGATGCAGCGCACCGCTTTCTCAGAAGTGTTTGCTTGCTTTTAACCAAAACAGTCATTCTTGGGTTATAATATAGATTCCTTCTACCTAGGAATTGTTTGGAAAACAAAGAGCCAATTAAATTTTAGTTTAAAAATATACAAGGTGGGGCAAAAGTAGGTTTACAGTTGTTCAAATGGAAAACAATACGGTAATTAATAAATACTAATACAAGAGTAAAATCTGGTTTGCATATTCCCAGCTGTGAGTCTGCCCTTGCCCCACCCGGTGTATATTTTGGATGAGTATTTCAGGTTGTAGACAGTCAGCATCATGTCGTCGTTAGGCTCATGTTGCTTAACAAGTGGTGGAATGATGAGCCTCCTTCCAGCATATTGTCTCTTCTTTCTCCTTTGTTATTTTTTTAAAGACTGGAGTTTCTTTGTCTTTGTCTTATCTTACCTTGGAGTTTGTTCAAAACTCCGAGCCCTATCCCCCGCCCCCTTTTAATAAGCTGTTTAAGTAGGTGAAGGTTAACAGTCGGGTGGGACACACGCCATTTAATTGAGCCACTAGGAAGTATAGTCTCTTTCTCTGCCAGCTTTTTGGTGACTTTGGTAAAAGCTGATATAAAAGGCTCGAACGCTCTTTTCAGTTATTCCATAGGCAAGCGTTTTTACCCTGTCTCCAGGCGGCACCTTGCGATACCTCTGAGTCTCCAGCTCTGAGTACCAGTGCTTCCCATGTTAGTACCCAGCACTGTGCAGACTGCCACCCCCTCCTCAGAGAAGGCCTCTGTGCAGTTTGAAAGGAAAGCAGCCTTTTCAGGCTAGAATATTTTATATTAACCGAAGAGCTAAGTTCCTGAAGCTAAGCTAGATAGATGCAGCTATGTGTAAATTGTATATTTTTATGAACTTATGAAGCACACACTCCTGTTTCCCTCTGCATAACTTTCTGGGGTTTTGATGTGTATATGCTGTCTGCAAAAGTCAAGAGGTTGGGTTGACAATAGGAAATGAAAACAGGAACTATGTGCACCCTTTGACAGGGACCCGAGAGTTGTCTTCAGTGTGACCAACTGGAGCCCCTGGCTGTTTGTGAAGAAGGGGTTTTGTAACCTTTTTGGAGCTGCCACCTCGAAAGTTCGCACTGTCCAAGGAAAAGGCTGACCCCCAGGGCCTGTGAGAATGCACATCAGAAGTGCACTAAAATTTGGTAGGCAGGGGACTGTGTACAAATTCCCTCTGGAAGCTGATTTTGCCCCTTTATGTACTGAATGCCCTTGAGCCGTATGAGATGTGGATTCATGCAGGTAAAATGACGGAGGATTCCTTATCTATGCAGATGTGTGAGAAGCACCAGGAACTACTGGCTGCCCTTGAAGCTGAGGAGATATTTATGATGCTGGGTGGAAGTGCCTGACCTTGGGGAGAAGGGTTCCTGGGGCTCCCTCTGTGGTGATGTTACGAGGGACAGATGTGGGACATGCAGGCGCATGTTCTCTCCTGCCCGTCATGGGTGTACTTAATATTGGGAGGAACTAGGGAGAGGGGTGGTTTTGTGAGGCCCTTATAGATAGATACCCACCCCTTCTACTTGGAGAGTCCTTCCTCAGATACTCACCCAGCAGTCACTCTGCCCAGCGTTGCCTCAGGGCAGGAGCCCCATCCCTCCAGGTTTGGCTGATCACTTCCCCACTGAGCTGGTCATGGTGAGTCCCTGAAAAGGGTTTTTCTTCGCAGGGAATTGGGAGGTCCTCTAGAGAACAGATCCAGGGTCCTTATGCAAGCTGAGTACCACCTCCACACTGGTTTAGGACTTGACTGAACTAGACAGAATCTGCACTTGTGTTGGGAGTGTGTGCTGCCTTTCAGGTACAATTTTTGTGTATTAAAAGCCAGTGCATTTAGTTTATATAGAATATTTTCTATGCAAGACTGAGATATGGAGTAGATAGCGAGAAATATGTACTGTTGGGTATGAAGACAGGAAGCATGTTTCAGAAGGGGCATGACCACTGAACTTGGATGAGGGAGGATAGGTTGCAATGAGCTCCTGCCCACTAATTCTGAGCAGCCATATCATGAGTTAAATCATCTCAGCCAAATAGCCTAAGAATGGTGTTACTTTCATGTGTAATAACCCAAATGGAATAAGTACGAGTGCTGAGGTGGGACAATATTCTCAGATATTCCTTGTCACTTTCATTTAAAGACTTGTTTGAATTAGAAACTTTAGGCAAAATCAACAGTATTTGCAGCAAAATAAAGGCCTACTCTGCTCTTATTTAAACTGAAATGCTGTACACTTATTTCTCTCCAAAGTGAAAGTAGGCATTTATGATTTCAATTGCCTTGATAAGTTTCCAGATCACTGATTTATGCTGAAGATTTTACTATATTGTTGCACAATTTTAAGATAATTTTTGTCTCAATGTCAACTTTTTTCAATGAATAAAAATTTAACTGGGTCAAGAAAACAGCTACTTGAAAACCTGTGCGTGTCTTGAGTAGTTCCTTTGAGTGCACCAAAGATAGCGCCGCCTCTGAACGCCATCCGATCTGTCTGCTTTAGAAGGGTGTTTATCTCATAGATGAAGGACACGAAGGCCTGGAATAACTGTGACTGACAAGTGGCTCCCAGGTGGCGGCTCCGTGAAGAGCCCAGTGTCCCCATCGGCAGAGGAATGGGGAGATGCTGTGGAGGCTGTTTGAGTAAATAGGATTATTGGGCAAGGGCCGTGGCTGAGATGGGTCCCTCGGCGCTGTGATTACTTTACCAGGAGACAGGTGCTAAGAAGGCCGTTTTCAATGTAAGAGAAGAAAGGAAAACAGTGATAAGCTGTGTGTGAAAGAGCACCTTCCGGCAGCCAGGTCTCGAGGAGAAGGCTGCACTTTCCTCTGACAACGGGGCTGGGGGTGGGGAGGCAGTGAACCTGTGAGTCAGGACTGGAAGCCTGGACCTGGGCGGAGGGGCAGGTGCTTCTGATTGAACACCTCCCAGTGCACTGCTCCTGTTTAAATATTGAGCCCGATGAAGCTGAAGTGTCGTTAACCTGTTTCATAGATGAGGGAAAAGAGTGAACTAAAGGGAAATCGGAGAGTAAATAGCAAAGCCTGCCCTCGGTGCTAGTGGCTTCTGACCTAGACCCTGCCCTTTCTCCCTGTGCCATGCCCCGCTACCCTCAGTGTCAGAAATGCTCAACCCAGCACCTCGCACACAGAAATCCAGGGGGATACCACCACCCGGTGGATTTACCCGGTCATAGCCTAGCCCTTAGATTTTTAGGCTTAGGGAACTTCGGTCAGCACATGATAGTGAATTCACCTCTCATGGGTAAGTGCACCTTAACCAAGCTTTTGTGACTGATACGCAGCAAAATAGCGATGCCGGTTGATGAACTCACACTGAGCATGGTAGCATGGCCAGTGCACTCGGCCCCGTCGGGACGTCGACCCAGGAAGCCCGTCACCACTAGAAGGTAGCTTGGTGAGCACGGACACAGAACAAAGGAAGCGGGAGGGGCCCGGGGAGAACACTGCCCGGTGAGTACTGCACGAACAAGTGAGTGAGTGACACTCCACTGCAGGAACGGTTTACTCCATATGAACTTAGTGTTGGAAACCTTCAGGTTACAACTCCCTGTCTCCATTTTTATTTAAGAAGCCTTGGTAATGGGATTTTAATCCTTAAAGTCTCTCCATGAAAAGTTCCCCCGGATGGGGCTTGGGCACCGCCCACACCTGCCACCCTCTGGCTCTTCTTTTTCCGTACTTTGTGGTTGAGCACACCCAGCCCTCACTGCAGCGTTCTAGAGCTAATGTTCATGCTTTTGGACTGGGTTACAATAAGATCTTCCTGGCTTGGGAGCCATTGCGTCTGCAAGATTACTCTTTCTACTATGGTGATTTTCAAGTTTTAACTCTTGGAGGACACAGTTTTTGAATCCTGCAGGACACCTCAATGTAGTCCTCAATTTTTAAAAAAAGTATCTTTATTGTTAAAAGTATTATAGATGTGCCCCCCCCCCCCACCTTCCCCACACTATTGTCTGTGTCCATGGGTTAAGCATATATACATATAAGTTCTTTGGTTAATCTCCTCCCACCCACCCTGCCTTCCCTCTGAGATTTCTCAGTCTGTTCCATGCTTCCATGTCTCTGGTTCTGTTTTGTTCATCTGTTTATTTTGTTCCTTAGATTCCACATGTGAGTGAGATCATGTGATAATTGTCTTTCTCTGACTTAGCCCCAAATTTTGACTATATCTGTCAGCTATGAGTATCTAGTTCCCCAGCCCACAGCAAATTAAAAATAGAGACCACTAAAGGCAGACACCCTGGTAATAAAAGAGCCTTAAAGTTAAACCATCAGAAAGCCTTTATTAGAGATAAGGGACCTCAGTAAACAGCTGGTTGGGGCCATGTAGCATAGGCCCTGTAGGCCCACTAAGGGCAGAGTCCTAGCCCTTCAGTAGCCCACTCAATTAGAATAACGTTTCTGTGGAGCCTCTATTTGCCAGTCACTGTGATAAACTCTTCCTAAACCTTTTTTAGTTCTAAAAGTGATCTTGTGACTTAGATATTAACTTTTCTTTTAAAAGATGAGGAAAATTAATCTTAAGAGAGGGTGAGTGAGCTCTGCAAGACTGCACATGTCGTAAGTGGAAGAGTCAAAACTTGGCCCTAGATTGATGTCATTCTCAAGTGTGCTCTTACCCACCATCCTCTGTCGTGTGGTACAGTGTTAGAATTCCACAACAGGAACACTGGGGAATTCACAGACACAGGCAAAACATTTTTTAATAGTTTTTATTTACGTGTAGTTGGTATAAAATAATAGTTTCAGGTGTGCAATATAGTGATTCCACATTTATGTCCCTTACAATGCGGCCACCACACTAAGTCTGGTGACCGTCTGTCAAAGTGCAAACTGATCACAGTACCATTGACTCTTCCCCTGAGCTTTCCAACCACCCCACCTCCCTCCTCCTGGCAGCCATCCGTTTCTATGAGCCTGGTTTTATTCTGTTTGTTTTGTTTTTCTGGATTCCACATATAAGTGAAACTAGGTATTTGTCTCTGTCTGACTTATTTTACTCAGCATAGTACCCTTAGGGTCCATCCATGTGTTCCACAGGGCAAGAATTCATTCTTTTCATGGATGAGTCATAGTCCATTGTGTGTGTGTGTATCATGTCGTCTTTATCCACTCATCTGTCAGTGGACACCTAGGTTGCTTCCATGTCTTGGCTGCTGTAGATAACATTGCAGTGAGCCTAGGGGTGCATATATCTTTGCGAATTAGTGTTCTTGTTTTCTTCAGATAAATACCCAGAAGTGGAATTGCTGAGTCTTATGGTAGACTATTTTTCGGTTTTTGAGGAATCTCCATACTTTTTCCCTAATGGCTCCGCCAATTTGCAGTCCAACCAGCAGTGCACAGTGTTCTCTTTCCTGCACATACTCCCAGCACATGATGTTTGTTGACTTTCTGATAATAGCCATTCTGACTGGTGTGAGGTTATATCCCATTGCGGTTTTGATTTGCATCTCTTAAAGGATTTCCGAGAGAAAGATTAAAATTGACATTTGGAGACATAAAGATCATACTTAACTTCCTTTGCAAGTCATTTATGTGAAACACAGCCTTCGCACCGACCCTAGGTCAGTGAAGCTTCTTCCCCTCTTGTCATTACTTATTCATTTTTTCAATTGAAGTTTACTTCCATATTATTCCATATTGGCTTCAGGTAGGTGTGCAGCATATACTTTACAGAGTGTTCTCCAGATATTTCCAGTACCCACCCGGCACCATCCATTCTTACTGCAATATTATCGACTGTATTCCCTACGCTGTACTCGGCATGTCCGTGATTTTTTTGTAACTGCCAATTTGTACTTCATCTTTTCACCCAGTCCCCCAACCCTCCCGCCTGGCAACCACCAGTCCACTCCCTGTGTTTGAGAGTCTGTTTCCATTGTGTTTGCTTATTTTGTTAGTGAAACCTTTTTTAAAAAATTGGAAAATGTTTTGTAAACAAGTAATTAGAAACAGCTTCTTTTGCTTTGTGACAACCCAGTTAGAGTTTATCAGAATCCTGTGCACCTGGGGAAAAGAATGTTCGGCACACATTGTACTCACCTTGGCTTGTTACACCGAGGGGCACCCCTGCAGCGTGTTCTCGCGGCCATAGGTTGGGTAGCAGGGGACCACAGCGTCCCAGCGAAAGGAGGCATCTGCCGCTCTCTTCATCCTAACTGGCTTTGGTGCCAGGGCCCCATTAATTTTTTTAAGATTATGTGTAGGGTAATTTGAGCCTGCAACAGTTTTCAGAACAATGATGCTAAAATGCTAATGTTATCATTGTAATGTCACAACCCTTTTTATACCAAAATGACAACTGGTGATGTTTGGGAGTACTTGTATGAAAACAATGCTATTTCATACTTAAAACTCAGCATCAGTAAACTTTGAGGAAGAAAAAAAGGCTTGAATTTAAATGTAAATCAGCCTTTTATGAAATATGCCCTTTGGCTCTACACTAGCCTGCAAAGCCTTGAAAACCTATTGAATGAATAGGTCTCATAATTAAAACTTGTTGTTTAATCTCTCTGTAGCAGAGGCAGAACCTATTAGTTACCCAGGGATTCCTCCAGCCCTACATGGTGCTGAACTGTCTGTGTGTGTGCACATGTGTTTTATGGAATTCTTCATAGGAAGTAGATGAACAACCCAAGAACATCAAGCTCTTGACTTCATAAGTGTACCTTATTTCAAACCCCAAACATCTTCAAAGGGGGAAATTTTGTCCACATTGAGGTGTTTAAGACCCTGAATACAATGCTTCCAAACGGTGGTTCAAAACGTTTTGAGCAATGGTTGTAGGTGGCAATAAGTGATAATAGCAAATGTAATTACCACCTGCCAGGCATTGTCCTGAGGGTTTCCTGTATATTAGCTCATTTAATCCTCACAACGATTCTTTACGGAGGATATTATTATTCTTATGTTATAGATAAGGAAACTAACGCACAAGAAGGTCAAGAAATCACAACAGCTAGTAAGAGGCAGTACTGAGGTTTGAATCCAAGTATCCTGGCACTGTATCCTGGGATTTGAACTATTTCACAAATTACTCCAGGTGACCCTTTTTTTTTTTTTTTTAAGTATCTTTATTGATTTCAAAGAGAGGAAAGGAGAGGGAGAGAGAGAGATAGAAACATCAATGATGAGAGAGTCATTGATCAAGCCTGCAACCTGGGCATGTGTCCTGACCAGGAATCGAACCCCGATCACCTGGATCCTAGGTCGACCCTCGACCCCTGAGCCATGCCCGGCTGGGCTGGGTGACCCTTTTGATAGTCATATATGAGTGTGTGCATTTGGATTTAATTTACCTTTTTACAGAACATTTCTTTTTATTATAAAAACAATTTGGGTTCACTATAGAAATTTTGGGAAAACAAAAGCACCAACAAGAAAATGAATTTT